CAACCTGCAGATCCCTGCCTGAACGCCAGGCCGGGGCCACGGGCACTCGTGCAGCACCCCTCCCACATCTCAGCTAATCCTGGGGGAAGGAAGGGCTGCCAGAATGCACTTTGCAGCAGAAGACTGGTTCAGAGTTTCCACTGGCCACAGCTGTTTCATAAAGCTCAGGAGAATTACTCTGTCAGGTAACGGCTTTCTGTGCCAAGACTTGGGAGGGGCAGGGTGGGGAGGGAAGCGGGAGCAATGACCATATTTTTCCCTAGGATGTCTCCACCTCCTGGGGATCCCACTGGTAAGTGAATTGCACTTAACTTCCATGTCACTGTCAGTCATGAAGCACGGGCTTTTGTTCTGTGGACAAAAGAACGAGGAGGGAAGGAGGGTGCAGTGGTGGGGCTTTCACCGACTCAGTCCCTAATCACTGTTTCCATTAGCCCTGAGGTTTCGAAGGTTTGGATGTGCCGAGTGCCTGTCGACACAACTCAGCCTGTAGAAACAACAGGGGTGGTGGGGAGGGGATGGAACTGGAAAACTTGCTTTAACCAGTGGTCTGTCCACTTTTTTTTTTTTGTTTTTCCCGAAAGGGAAAAATACCATTTCTGCAGGTGGACTGGATTTATTGCTGGCTTTAAGGTGCCGAGAATCATAGGTTAGCTGGGGCTAGTTAATGAAGAGGATTCTGGACTACATGTCATGGATGATAGTAGTGGAGATGCTGCGTGGAGCAGAAACAGATAGCAGCTCCATCTGGGTCAGCAGCAACAGGGCGCTCGGGCAGCTTGCCGTGCCGCTATCTCAGCGGGCAGCATCTGGGGTTAACGTTCGGATTTCCCATGTTCCCTCTGCACACCCACCCCCTCCCTGTACAGCTTCACCGGCTGCCTGCTGTCACATGTCCAGGCTCCTTCGGATCAGAAACAGCTTACGAAGCAGACGGTACGCGTACGTATTGCTCTGTTATCTGGCGGTGGATGTCCATGTCTCCCAAGCCGACGCTGAGCTCCCCGGCACCAGTGATGACAGCACAGTAAGTGGCTGTGCTCTTCCCCTCCAGCTGCAGGACGGCGCTCATGTCCTACAACAGGGAGGACTGTTACACACGGAGCAGGTTTCTCTCCCCTGCCACACTCAGCTCGTTCTTAATCTGTGCCCGGCTGGTCGGTAGCCCAGCTTGCTGTTCTCCCTTCAACCTCCCTTCTCCCTCGAGGTAAGCAACATTTCAGAGGTGTCTCGGTCTAGACACTGCTGGTAGATGGCTATTTTATATTTGCAACACAACAAATGCCACAGGTTAAAGAAAGTAACTCGGTAAATGACAGTGACAGGTCCCTGCCATGCAGTTCCATGGGTTGTGTCTGTCATACCAGAAGAGCCATCTGCAGCCCTGCCTGCTCCAGCCATCCGTTCCCATAGCTCATGTGACACTTTGAGGGCCTGCCAACACGCTGGTGTGTCTTGGTGGCACCCTCCAGCTAGCAGCTATGTCGGCCACCTCACTGACTGCGCAACCTGATTTTGGGGCCAGCCTTGGAGCCAGTTTTACAGCAGTGTCGGAGACTGTGTCCTTCTTCTGTGGGTCTTGTGAATGACCTGCTCAGAGAACTCAGGGCATTTCTTGGAACACACATGTGGATGGAGAAATGCATCTGCCTCAGTAGTTCACAGGGAAGCTGGAGGTTTTAAGGAAAGGGTCCTCTCCAGCGCTGGTGGGAATGTGTTTTTTTTCAGGCAAGGATTGCTTGGGGGCTGGCCAGTAAGTCCATCTCCCTTTGGGAGACTGCTCACTTCAATGGCACAAACCTGTGCTGGGTAGAGGAACGAGTATAGACCTGCGGCTACAAAACATTTATAAACCAAAAAAGAGTTTGTGTTCTTACTGCTTCATTTACTGAGTTGCTCAGGTAGCCAGAACTAAGGCTCCATGTGCTCTGTTGGGATAGGAGGGCCCTGAAGGCACTAACAGGCCTTGATGGTCCTGACCAGCCTCACCTGGGGTCTCCACCCAGACCCCTGGCTTGTCTTCTGCCCTGCCCCTTCACCCTGGAGGTGCCTTACGCTCTGAGTTAGGGTTGCCTTCCTGGCTTTCTCTGTTTCCTGCTGCTCCTGGACCTTGGGGGACAAGCTGCTGCTGAAGCCAGGTATTCTTCTGGTGCACAGTTAAGGGTGTGTGCAGCTATGTGGAGGACCCTACTCCTCTGAATCTCGGAGGTGTTCAGCCTGGGGTCCCGGTTCCAGGTTTTATCTGTCTTATGCTTTATCCAAACCAGGCTCATTTTGGCATTGCTTTGTCTATCCTCGGGGGTCAGTGTTTATGTATTTCTGGCTGTACTTAGACCTTACTAGAACTTTTCGTGGTTCCTCCTGATTCACCTCTCTTTCTCCTTCAAGCACCGCTCCCTGGAGCTGAATTCAGACCCCACGGTTCAGACTCCAAATGGTACATACACCTAGGCTGTGTTTTTGGGGGTGGCTCCTTGCCTTCTGATGGTCTGTAACTAGAGGAGCATTGAATTGTTCGTGCTCTTAGGCTCCTGGAAGGTGGCTCTTATGTCTGCCAGGGATGAGAAGACTTTTCCCTCTATATAATTCCATCGCTTCAGTGCTTCTGAGGTGCTGCTACTGTGCAACATACCATGTGGTGACAGTAGTGCAGGACAGATTCTGAATGTTCATCCTTCCCCACGGCTGATAAAAAGAGAGGAGTTTGTCCAAGGCGGCTTAAGCAGTCTAAAAAGCAAAGGGAAACAAAACATATTAATAAATCCATCAGAGTATTGTGAACACAGTGACAGCCTGTGCAGGATGAGTTACTGTAGGAAAGCCCTCTCCTTGAAAACTTAGTGCCTGTCAGTCCTTGTCTAGAAAGGTGTTCAAGCAGAAACTCAGCCACAGCTGCTGCAAATGACTGGCTGGGGTTGAGTGGGGTGATCTACGTCTGCCTGCTGCACTGGCACTCTGCACTCTGGATTTTTTTGGAACATCTGGGAGTGGAGGAAAAGAGAAGAAGGGGGAAGAAACTTCTGCGCTTCCCTGGCATCACCCTCTGTACCCTCACACTGCTGCTGTGCCCAGCCTCTCCTGCTGCTGGCCTTCCCACACTGCTGTTCCCACCGTGCTATCTTACTAGAACCTCTGAATCTGAATGGATTCACAGGAAACCCTTCCTCCTCAAAAATTATACTTCAATGGGTGGCATTTTTTTCCCCCCCCCCTCAAGCTTCTCCATTTGTGATATGAAGTGATGGTAGATTTGTGTTGGGAAGATTTGGGAAAGGTCAGAAAGCTGCAATAATCCTAGAATTGTTTTGTAATCTGCCCCTGCTCATTTCAAGGCCCAAACACTGGTCTGCTGCTGCTTGTGGTGGAGCACCAGGCACAGCGCGATCCTTTCTTGTTGCCAAGGTCTGTAGCCCTTTCTCTTCTACAGTAATTCCTGTGCCCCAGGTCCTCTTGTCCATGGTGCATGGAGATCATCTTTGAATAAGCTTATTCCTTTCAAATTCTTGCTCAAAACGTACTTCTGTTGCTACTATAACCTGGCATGGATTCAGTGCTGAGGGCCAGGCTGTTTAGGAGTCAGTGGAGATCACTGATGCTTATTTAACTTTGATTTGGGATCACTGTGCTTGCTGTATGCTAGTTAACTTCCTATTTGCGGACCTTTCTTCTCCTGATCTCAACTGCCTCCCCTATTCTTTCTTCGAACGGCCCCTGCCTTTTCCAGGCAGCCTGCCCACTGGTATACTGCCTAACGTGTCCCAGATCTTCACAGCATTCAAGAGCCCCTGATGCTGAAGGAGTACCAAAGGACAAATCGCAGCTGGCATGCACTCGCAGGCAAACCCAAGCACCAGGCACCTGCCAAGTTTCTTCCAACGCCACCAAAGGTTCGTCTCACTCTTCCGGCATTTGTTTGCCCACTGCCCTGGAAGAACAAATTGTTAATTGGCAAAACTGGGAGGGCTGCTTGGCATAGGTGCTACATCTGTATTAACACGTGAAGTGAGGCTGATGTTGCTGAAACATAAGTCAGCAATGAGAGGGAGCAGGAGGCATCTAGCTACCAGACTGAGGGCAATACAAACCTCTACAGCCATCTACAGACTTCAACCTTGACGACAAATGCCCACTTCCTTGGAGGGGAGATCCGCTTGAGCTCCCCATGGATTTCTATTTGGTCTTACTTGCTAAGACCTCTTGGAACAATGTTGAACAACATTTCAGTCAATACGATCAGCCCTCTGAATTCACCTCCTCCCAGCAGACTCCAGAGCCGCTGCGCCAGACCTGATGGGCTCTGCAGCTGCCTTCCGGGCCACTTAGCTCCCCCTTTAAGCAGTTTGGGGTTTGGTTTTTTGTTTGGTTAGTTTTTCTAATGTATTTATTTTCCTCTTTGAAGGTAAAATGAGATTTGTTACCTTTGCCTGCACTGCCTCTGTACTTTACTCATGGAAGGATCTGTTTCAGTGTCTGAATTCTTTTTCATTCACTGTTCTCTTCCCAAATATCTCCCTCATCAAAAATATCCTTCTTCTCCACTTGTGTGGTTATCAGCTTCGCTCTTCTCTTGCCTCTGCCTTCCACTCCTCTGTCCGCCTGTCAGTCTGTCACAAACGGCCAGATTGTCAGAAGACAGTCAATCCCTCGCCCATCTCCTCCTCCTTCTAATTCTTCTGCCAGAAGAATCACAGCAGTAAGTGCTCAGATCAGTTTGGGCTTCATCTGACTATCAAGTGGTTTTAAAGCTCTTGTTTAATAAAATCCTGAAACATACTTTCCATTTCTGAACACAGCTTGCCACTGGTGGTCATAATGATCTTCACAGTTCTGTATCATTTGGAGCTTTCAAGAGTATGTTGAGCATTTGGGTGGCAAGCGCTGAAGCGTGCGCATGCCCGTGCACAGCAGCTCCTGGCCCAGACTCTCTCTGCCCCATGTTAGCCCAGGTGCACCACAACACCCCTGCACATACACGTTTTTCTTGTTTATAAACACCACTATCTATCCTAGACAAGGAAGTGTATTGCCATCTCACAGTAACAAAAAGTCTGCCTCCAAGCTGTCGCTGTTCTTGGGTGTTGTCAAAACTCATACTGAACCTCTCCAAGGAGCCTTCATCCTCCCCAGTGCAAAGCTGTACATCTCCTTTGCACACAATGCCTTCTTCTGCATCCAGCTCTACGGCTGTAAGAGGCTGCTCTCCCATCTAAATATGCTCTTTTATTGCTCCCTTCTGACCTCCAGGCTGTACTTGTTTGCCCTCACTCTCCCCAGTTCTGTAGTCTGTAAGACTTGGTGCTAATTCTTGACGCCTCTGCTTTTCTGTCTGGCAGTTCTCCGAGACCTGAACTGCTCAGACCAGCTGAGCAGAACTGCCTGTATATAAGCAACCTATGGCCTCTGTCCATCTTTCCACTGCTTGTCGCTCCCTGTTAACCTAAATGCCACTCTGTCACATTTGCTCCTGCTCCCTGGGAATTGCCACTGGTACTGCCAGGAATGAGGATGTTTCCATCTGCAACTGTCTCCTGTTAAGCGTGGCAGATTTCAAAAGCATTGAGCTTGGCAATTTTAACTCTGAAGCTCAGTATCACTATAGGAAAAAAAAAAAATCCTCCTCCAAAGTAAAAAGCAAGGATACTTGTTTAAGCAAGTCAAACAAAATAGCTTTGAACACTGGCCTCTAATTCAATATTAAAAAAGGGTACTAACTGCCACTGGTAATGAGCACAAACTCTATTTTATGCAGTCTCACTATCTGCTTTTCAAAACTGATGCCTACAGGAATGTTGACAATATTCATGAGTTCCTTTCATTGTCTGGCATGCTGATCTTCTCTTTTAGTCCCCTGCACATCCCAAAGGCAGTTTCAGGTTTTTAATGCCAAGCCTTGCCCTAACAGCAGATGTACCAGCCTCCAGCCCAGGGATCCAGCTGTGGGTGAACCTCTGCTGTTGTACAACGCCACAGGGCCTAAAAGACATGAAGATGCTAAATCTCTCTTTAAAGTAGCAGGTGGGTGCAGTGGGAAACTAGCAGCCTTCTTCTGAAGAAAAAGAAATGAGTGGCTCTCATCGCACCGTGCTCTTCTCAGTGCTCAGCTGATAGCTCCAAGTTTGAGCGGTATTCAGGTACATCTTCTGTGCTGTCTTGAGGTGGGGCTGGTTGAGGTGACAGAACTTAGATGAAAATGGTCTTGCTGAGGTGATTCAAAATAAGACCAGGCTGATGCTTTCTGGCAATGTTTCAGAGAACAGAGTGTCTCTGGGACCTTCTTCCATGTCCCAGGAGGTTTGAATTCCTAATGTAAACATGAGAAGACTCTGCTCAACTTCTGGGTATCCTGAGAGAGTTATAATGCTTCTTCCAGCACCTTTCTCTGAGCAAGACCATGCATCCTTCTCTGCAAGTCAGATAGTTACTTATAAAGCAATGCTTCTTCCAGCACCTTTCTCTGAGCAGGACCATGCATCCTTCACTGCAAGTCAGATAGTTACTTATAAAGAACTTTGCTTCTGGATAGCCTTGAAAGCCATGTGGGAATTCATAGCTAATGCCAGAGGGCAGCTTACGGACCTTAAGGACAGCTTCACCAGCACGTCTTTCCCGTTCTGACTGGGAGGTCTTCACAGACTGCCCCACCTGACGGCAGGAGCTTCCTGCCTCAGCAATCAGCATAGAGTAATTTGAGACACCAAACAACTTTTGAGCAAGCTTCACCACCTCAATCAGTAGCACTTCTTATAGCTCAACAAAAATTGTACAGGCAATGCAAATAGCTCTCATTTGCATGGGGAAGTCCCAGGTCTGTTCCACTTCAGCTTCTTGGTTGTCTCTCAGTCAAACAAATTGGGAGGGAGAGGGTCTGGTAACATTTAAAATGTTCTGTTTTTTTAATGCCATCTTTTTGTGTGTGTGTGTGTGACTCAAATCCTTTATGACTGAGGAATTTGTCTCTCTAGTTTAGCTGTAACTGTGTCAGTGCTACTTTTCTGAAAGGTTTCTTACCACTGTGGGTACTCTGCACAGAGACTTTTGCTCATATTCATGCTACTTTCCATAGCTAAGACAGTCCCAGGTAGCCAGAGCTGGCTCTTACCTGGGGAAGAGCCAAAAGAGTTCTTTGGTCTTACAGCATCAGAAAATAGCCCCAAAGCACGTTAACGTAGAGTCCAGAGTCACACGTGGCGATTGTAAGGATGGTACATTACTCTGTCCCTGTCTTGAGTGGCAAAATAGCCCCAAAGCACGTTAACGTAGAGGCCAGAGTCACACGTGGTGATTGTAAGGATGATACATTACTCTGTCCCTGTCTTGAGTGGTAGGGATAGTGACTTTCAGCATGGGAACAGAGTAGGTCAGTGTGTATCAGTCCATTACCCACCTACCCAATACCAAACTATGCAGCACTACAGTTCCCAAGCTTGTGCATGAGTGTGCATACAGACATGTGGATATCATGCACGGATATCCCCTTTTCCCTCCTGCCCCTCTTTGGCTTGGCACTCCTGAAAAGTAGCTGGAAATGGCAGTGGTGCTGAGAAAACTGCTACAGATACAGTACCAGGATAACAGGGTTCAGCGCCTTGGCTATAAAGTCAACGTTGATACCTCCAATCACCACCTTTAAGAGGGAAGAAAGAGGTAAGAAGTGGTTGGAAGGACTTGAGGAAAAAGTTTTCCAGTCTTTGCTTTTCCCAGTTACTTCTCCCACCATCTTGAATGCTATTTAACTCACAGTGCGAAGGCCTGTGCTTATTTCGGATGGCTAGGCACAGGTGTGTACAATCCCGATTAGAATCGAAATCTCTTTTATATGTTGCTTTCTGAATTCTGCTTGCTCACAGCCAGCCCCAGCGTGGCGGGTGGGACGTTACTGTCTACACATCTGGGTGCTGGCAGTTTCTCTGTGTGGTGATAGAGCAATCTAAGAAGTGGCATGGGTCTGGCCATGTCAGTGCCCTTGAAGCCATCTCTCTTGGGACAATTTCTGACATACCAAACCTCAGAAACATTCAAGCGCTGCCGTGTAAAACAGCAAAGGAAATGGGGAAAAAGTGGGCCAAAAACATGCCGTCATTTCTCACAAGCTCCCAAGAGAAATTGCCGTACCCAGCGACACTTTATGGATCACTGTCTTATTGTCCTCCAAAGCCTGAAAAAGTAGTACAGCTCCGCAGGCAGGAAGTTCCCAGATTCTTTGGGGACGTACAGCTGTTTTTTCTCTTTCCACCAAAATCAGGGTTATTGCCCCTGGAGTCACTGTCCTCTTTCATGTTGACAAATCCTATTGCAAGTGGGTTTTAGAAAATTTTTCAGCTCTCTCAAGACTACCTAAAATAGACTTTCTGTAAATTGTGTGTCGCACAAAATCCACGATAGTGAATCGCGTATTAGGGTTATAATGGATCTTGTCTGGGATATGCTGTACCTCTTGTAATTTTAGCAGTCGTGAGCAGGAGGCCAGCAAAAAGAGATATTTATAAAACGCGTATGGCTCAGCAGCTCAAAATATCTCCTTCCACCCTCTTCCAGGTCTACTCCTGTAGTCACAAGTTCCCTGGCACTGAAAGCAGTGCAGTTAGGTTGTAAGTAAGGGCACAGTAAAAGGTGAAAAGGTGATTAAAGTTTTAATGGATTTGATGGTCTAAGACTTAATGGGATTAGGCCCCCGTCAGTGTTAATTCCCTGTAAATGTGGATGGGGGAGAAGGAGAGGATATTTCTCTCTTCAGTGTTTTTTATTCTTCTCAGATAATGTCTGCCAGCATGAAGCAGAAATACTGGTCTCTGGCTCAGTCACCTTTTACTTTTGGAAACAGATACAAATTTATCCTGTGCTGTCAGCAGAGAGACATTACATGGGGGGCAGCAGGAGACTCACTGGCTGAGGTGGGGTTGTGTCCTCTCGATGAGGCAGGTTCCCCTTCCTTCTGGCTTTCTGTAGTTTGCTCAGGGCTACTGCAATGCGGCTGCCCACTCTGGCATTGTTGTGGATCAGAGCAAGGTCTGTTTGGCATTTCTTTGAGGAAAAGAAAAAATAGCAGCAAGATTGACCTGTCAGAAGCCTATGTAAGAACTGCCCAGAGGGAGAAAGCAGAAAACACGTGCTGTGAGATCTGATAGATTTGATCCCCCTATACCATAATCCTTTGGGGGCACTTATACTGGGTTACAATACTGCATGAACACCCTGAATTTTTAAATTTTTTCACCTTCGTCCTTCTGTGTCCACAGAGAGGAAACCTGTCATCTCCATTTGACAGATAGGGAACAGAAGCAAAAGCTTCACAGAGAAAAGACAAGGTGAAGTGCTTAAACCAGAGCCAAGACTCTAAAAACCTCAGAGGATCCTGGCCAGCTTTTCCAGAAGGAGATGCCTACTGAGATTTTTGCCAAGTCTCTATAAGCAATTTTTTTAGCAGTGTCACTGGGAGCAGAGTATCAGAGGCTTTGCAAAGCCCTATGTTGTGGCTGCATACAGGTCTAATATCCAAAAATGCCTTTACCAATCAGCCCTGACTGACCACGTCTCCTACAGGGCTGGCAGCAAGAGCCTGGATGTGAACCTGGCTCTCCCAGATCCTACACTGCCATCCCAGCCAGCAGATCTGCTTTTCTCTTGCCTGTGCAAGGATTCCTGCTCACCCAGGGGTGTTTTCCTTCAAAGTTTCTCTTACTCTGCACCCACACGCCAAGTTAGCTAAAGCAGTGCAATGTACAGCACAGTGCTCTGGGAAGCCCAGGTACCTTCCGTTGTGCAACCCCACCACAGACAACAGCATCCTGAGGCTCCACCACGAAGCAGGCAAGCTTGAGGATCAGATGTGAGGGTCTCTTTGGGCTCTGGACCACCTGCTGTCTCTGCTGGCCTCCAATTTTTAATGCAAATGTGGATGAGGACAGTAAGGGTGCTCCTGAAAAAGCAGGATGCGGCTGCTATGCTCTCATCTGTTTGCAGATACTGAAGTGTTTGCCCCTTGCTAGACTGTTAGTAAAGTGACAGCGTTTTCGACCAAGCATTATCAGAAGAGATATGAAGTACACTGGAGCACTTTTTTTCCCCCTCATGCAGTAAAAGGATACTGGAGTCCAGCGATTTTCCATCAGTTAATTCACTGATCTTCTGTAACATAAAAGGAGTCAGTTCTTTGCCTGTGATCCCTTTGGACCTGCAAATGTAAAGCAAATGCCTGCAGATGAGAAGGACAGAGCTGAAACAGCATCAGAGGAGAAGCACTGCTGCTAGCAGATAATTTATCTCCATAACCATAAAAAGTCCTGTAAACAAGCTTCAGGTTAGATAAGACTACGGCTGAAAGCATGTTGTGGGCTCACCCGTGCCCAAAGACACTGCAGCAGTGTCCCTGAAGCTGTTTACTTCCCCAAGCCCACTGGTTGAGCAAAGGAGAGGGCTTAGGTTGCTTCTCACCTGGCTTCGCCGAGAGCTTGCTGGATGGCCTCTTCGATGACCTGGCCTGAGGCAGCTCGCTCCTGGGGACAAGGGACTGCTATCAGCACCCCGCTGCTCAGGCCTAGCCCCAGAGCACTGGCTGGGAGAGGACAGGCAGAGCGTTAGTGTTCTCCTTGGATAAATCAAATGCTGAAGGAAAAGGACAGAGGAGAGCGGGCGCAGGGTGAAGGAACCCACAGAGCAGGAGCTCCTGTTCTTAGCTGACCAACGCACAGGGCCTTTTCCAGCTACCTATCAATTTACATCTGCCTATTTCTTTTGAGTCTGTCTGTGCAATAAAAGGAACAAAGAATTTTTTTAAGAAAACTGATTCTAATTCTGAAGGCCCAGAAGCTGTTTTTGTAAGCATGTTGACATATGTGTTCCCTCCACTTCACCAGTGTGAACAAGACATGTATGAGCATGCCAAGGTGGCTGCAGCTAGCTAAAAAACTTGCTGTAAAGACTGAATTTTCCTGCTACTTTATTTTGAAAGCACTGAGGCAGGAATGGGGGAGGTGGGATGGCTTGTTTTTCAGGACAAACTCTTCTCCAAATTTAAAAGAGAAAGTGCCTCATCCAAGGTGATTTTTGTGTCCCTCTTTCCCAGGGCCCTACATGGGCCTTTCCCTTCTGAAACGCACCAATGAGTTCAGCTGTCTCCTCTTCATCCCGGACGTGATACGGTGCCTGGAAGCCACTCTGGCGCGAGAAGAAGGCTGGGAACTCCCTTGACTCTCCAAAGGCAGCCACGCAGACTCCCTGAGTCTCCTGCAGCAGTGGAGGCAAGACAAGCAGGTAATCACTGGGGGGAAAGGGGACCCACCAAAAGAATGGGACTTCTTCCTTCTACCCAGCTAGAAAATGCCTTTCTTTAGCACAGGGTCTGGTTATGTTTATACATCCCGTTCTATTCCATTCTATCAATCACCAACGTTTTTTAAAGCAAAGTGCCAGACCTGGTAACTGGTTAGATAGAATCTGGCTTACTGAGACGCAGGAGACGTGCATGCCCTTTGCTTGCGCTTGGAGCTGACCAAAAGCCACGCAGCTGTCACTAGCGCAATACTGAGTCTGAGGTAACAACCTGTTACCTGAAGATACCTTGTGAGCTGACAGGAATCTAAATGAGTTCTGTTTGCTATGGAGAAGTATTGACACTGGCTGTCACCTGAAGTGCTGGCCCTGGCAACACGCCAAACTTTAAAAAGTCACTCTACTGAAAATCACCTTGATTCCCATTTTAAATCTGATTTTATTTTAGTATTTGATGGATCTAGCTTGCCTGACCCATCAATTCTGGAGCATTGTCCCAGAAAAGCAAGTGTAAGGCCAGAGAAAGATAGCATGGCTAGTGCTGCCTTTGACCTCAGCTGGAACAGCTGCTGGAACAGCCCCTTGAGCATGGACAGATTTACATTAGGGAGCAGCCTGCTACTTGTGTAGCCCCATGCCTAGAGAACTGTAAGTATGGCTTCACGTCCTCTCGATAGTAATTTCTAAAAATCTTAGGCTTAATACCTACCCCAACACCACTGGGCATTCTGTACACAAAGTACAACATTACCTGCTTTCAGGTTCAGCAGCCCGTTGCAATGTCAAGGATAGACTTGACTCCTGCAGATACAACAGCAACTGGAGTTCGTCCTAGCTCTGTCAGGTCAGCGCTCACGTCCAGAGCTGTCAAGGCACAAGCAGCCATTGTGTCAGTGATTGCGTTGTACTCCAAGCCGACGTGATCTGCCCTCTTAAAAAGCCGTGTCTGCCTGGGATGCCACTGCCTGCTTTTGTAACCACTTAGATCCACAAACAAACATTACAGGTTTAGATCATGCCTTTGGGTGTCGAGGTTGAAAGAGATGTTGACAAAAAGAAGTCACGTGGCTTAGGGCAGAGGTGTCTCTCGGCTCTTTGATCACATCGATAAACAGCATGCACAAATTCGTTGGAAAAGAAAGAAGCAGTGTTATACAGCAAGGACAAAGTTCAAGGGGATGGAATATAATTTAACTATAATTTGATTTTGGTATTGACATCACTGTCAAAAAAAAAGCGCCACGGGAGCTTTGCTGACCTCGGGAAACTGCCTGGCCTGGAATTTATGTCACATCTGAAAGGGATGGCATCCAGCAGGGCAGTGCACTTAGACTATGCTAAGAATATATATGGGTAAGAGAGAGAATGTACTTAAAGGTCACAAACTACACTGCCAAGGCTGGGCTGTTTTCCAGAGAGGAGCACAGATCTCCAACACGGACCAGGGCCTAAATCTCCTTTGTGGCGAGACCTTCCTTCTCCTCAGCTGAGAGAGAGTCGATTACAACACTGTGCTGGGTGGCCAGTATCAGGTTCCCCAGCCATTACAAAGTGGGAGAGGCCCCGTCGGCTCCCGTTGCACCAGCAAACAATACCCATATCACCCCGTGTAACCAAAGGATAAAGAGAAGCTCCCACCCTCTTCACAGCTGGCCAGTGCTCAGGAGGAATATTTAGAAGCTTCTGGAAAGGAGACACAGGGGAGAAAACAACCATAGTATGGTCAAGAACAATGACAACTTTACTCTTCTGAACAGACAGCTACTGCAGGACAGAGTGGGGAAAAGATGGAATTAAATAAAACACTAGCAAGGTGAAGAAAAGTAGAATGTATTGATTTTCTTACTGTTCTCTCCTCCCCGATGGACGCCTCCTATGCCGCCCGTCACGAACACGGGGATACCTGCTTTGTGTGCAGCAATCATTGTTCCGGACACGGTAGTACCACCCGACAAGCCCTGTCAGGGGACAACCAGTCACAGTCAGCACACAGGGTGACACGGAGAATACCGCGTGCAGGCAGCTATGGTTGTGGTCTGACACGCAGCAATGTCACAACAGCCCGCTGTCACCAGCTGACAAGTGAAATTCTGATAGAAATATTCTATTAGGCAAAACCACAGAGGAATCATCGTCCCTGCTACGCAAGCCGTTCTCGCCCTGATGATAGCAAAGGCCTTTGTTCTCCAGGGCTTTCCAACCAGAAGGCTTCATGGGCAGCTAGTGTCACCTTAAGCTGTCACCTTAACCTCGGGATGGGCTGCGTGTCACATAGTTTACATGTAACGTGATGATGCCTTATCATGCCAATAAGAATATTCTTAGCCAAGCGCTCGTGGCTTGCCAGCCAATCCAGAATGACTTTCCAGGAGCCCTGTTTCATGGCTGCTGTTCCCTTACTCTGTTGTATTTGGACTCTAGATAGAACCACGTTTGAGCTTACCAATAAGGTACCACTTTATGTGATATTTTCAAGAGGTTTAAAAGCCACCTGGCTTGAATCTGGAGAGCACTATACTATTGCTGTATAGAAGACACCACAATAGAAAGTCTGTATACTATACCTGGCTGAGGACGAAAGGAAGATCTCTCCGAGACACTTTAACTACATTTTTATTGCTTGCCAAGAACTCAAGTTCCTCATCTGTGAGTCCCACGTGGATTCGACCCCTTAAAATACCTACAGTGGCTGGCACTGCTCCATTTGTTGTTACAATTTCTTCCACCTCTCTGGCCATGCTAGAATAAGGTAAACAAGACAACAGTCACAAAATTAGTGAGGTGAATTATCAGACAAGGAAACTGCCATGTTTGATGACCTTCACTCCCAGTTTCCAGTTTTATATGGTTCTCGTGATTTCAGTGAAGTCCAGTTCCTCTTCTGGATCCTACTAATGGCAGAAGTCTTTGCACTTGAATTTGCAGAAGTGCAGAGCTCCCGTTTTCAGGACAGCAATGTCCAAGCTCTGTGCTTCATTTTTGAGAAAAAAAACACTTGGTTTACAGGCAAATCTGGTTGTACAATAGACTACTGCAAAGAGGGATCTTCTCAAAATAGGACCTTTCTGTATCTTTCTAAGCTTTGCAGGTTTTATGCTTGATTATTGATATGCTATCCCTTTTTAAGAGCAGCTGATTCTCCCTTTCTGACCTAGCTGTACATATGCTAGGCAATCTTTAACTACTGAGACTACCTTCTCTCCAAAACTGAGTTTTAGAGCTTCGTTCTAAGACACAATGGCAGGCAGAATAATGGCCAGGTAAAAAGCAAGATGGAAAATCAATACCAAAACCTTCCTGTGCTTTCTGGAAGCCAGGGCGGAGGGCAGAGTGATTTCTGGCACTGTAATTCAATGAAACACAAGTCTACTGAACACGAATAAATAAAGGGGGG